GACACTATACGGAGCAACCATTATGTTGAATTTTATTGAAATAATTTGCACCTTATCTAACACTTAAAAATTTCATACACTTATCGAACTAACTATACCATATAGTAGTTTGTTTTATTTGAGATGTCTTTTAACTTTCATTTTTAGTGAATCTTTTGTGCCTTCTTGGAATTAATAATTATAAATAATTTCGAATACGTGGCAACTTTGTACAAATACCTCCAGATACCCTTAAAATTAAAAAATTTATCTGAACACAAAATTCATCAAAATCGTTAGAGTCGTTTCCTAGAAACCTTTGGATATATATACATTAGGATGGTCCTTAAATGTATTAAGTACATTAATACATCAGATTTCATAAACGTCATCCCCCACATCGATGCTAATATAATCAAAGATATCACACAAAAATTTTGGTCCCGATCGGAGACGGTTTAGGCGTGTCGCACAGGGGTCAAGGTTCAGATTCCTCTATGGAGACTCAAAAAAATAAAATTAATATTTTTTTCATCTAATACCCAAAAGCGATACTACTGTAGACGCAGATATCGCGTATAAATTTTGGTCTCGATTGGAGTCGGTTAAGGCGTGTTGCACAGGGGTTAAAGTTCAGATTCCCCTATGGAGAATCAAAAAATTTAAATTAATTTTTTGTTTTCATCTAATACCCAAAATCGAGGGTACTGTTTGCATATTTGTACAATGATTTTGGGGTGATGTGCCTAAACGCGAATAAAAAAACTTTTGTACACACTTGTAGACAACAGTTCACGCTTTATTACAAAAATATAATATTTTATATCTGTGCACTAATTTATTAATAATGTCGGTTGGAAATATGGTATTTTTTGCAAATTTCCGAGCCGAGCTGTCAAAAAAAAGTAACCACGAAATATCTCTGCAAAAGGTGTTCAGCCCCTCTTCTTTGGCAAAACAGAAAGGAGAATTCTACTTAGTGAGGGTTATAATCCCCCTTCCCCTCCTCCCCCCACCCCAAAATCGTTGTACAAATAAGCAAACATTTCCCAAAATCGATACTGCTGTAGGCGCAGATATCACATATAAATTTTGGTCCCGATTGGAGTCGGTTAAGGCGTGTCGCACAGGGGTCAAAATTCAGATTCCTCTATGCAGACTCAAAAAATTTAAATTAATTTTTTTTCTTCTAATACCCAAAACCGATGCTACTAATGTCAAATATATCACATATAAATTTTGGACCCATTGGAGTTGATTAAGTTCTATATAAAACTGACAAAAACCGCTTAGCTTCCCATTTAACAGACAATTTGTTACACGGTAATAACTATTTACAACAGTTGTATCAATTCAGTAGTCCCGAAATTTAACTAAACACTGCTTTACATAATATTGTATTTTATTTGTTTTATTTTTATTCCATTTTAAATTTTTGAGTACCCATAGAAGAATCTAAACTTTGACCCCTGTGCGACACGCCTTAACCGACTCCAATCGGGACCAAAATTTATACGTGATATCTGCGCCTACAGCAGTATCGATTTTGGGTATTAGATGAAAAAAAAATATTAATTTAAATTTTTTGAGTCTCCATAGGGGAATCTGAACTTTGATCCCTGTGTGACACGCCTTAACCGACTCCAATCGGGACCAAAAGTTATACGTGATATCTGCGCCTACAGTAGTATCGATTTTGGGTATTAGATGAAAAAAAAATTTATTTAAATTTTTTGAGTCTCCATAGAGCAATCTGAACTTTAACCCCTGTGCGACACGCCTTAACCGTCTCCAATCGGGACTAAAATTTATATGTGATATCTTTGACCGTTGTATTAGCGACTGAGGGGGTGAGACTTAAAATTTCATTTTAAGAGCCACCCTAATATACATGCATATTTACAACAATTAATTGTTTAAAGTAATGAGACAAATACATATATGTAGTTTGAGAAAAAATTCGTACGGTTTTGCTGCCTTAAAAACTTCTTTGCAAATTTTTACTAGAACTTATCCTTAAGTAGAGAATTTTTTTCTAAATGTACTGACAACTATTTTCTCCCTGCAACTTTCCAAATTTTTATATTGAATCCCTCCTCCCCACACTCATATTTCAAAATGGTTCTCTTTTTTATAAAGCAATCGTATTTCTGGCTAGTATATTTCAGGACGAGTGGATAAGGATTGTGCCAAGAGCTTGTTTGAGCCGTATTGTTTATAGCGTATTCCACTTGGGAGAGCTTTGCTGGGCAATCTGAGTGTTCCATTGAATCTGTTAACTTGCTTAACATCACTTTAACAACACGATTAACCCTTTATACTTGGCCATTGGCTTGTGGAGAAGCCACTGCAACTTTTACGTGGGTTATATTTTTTTTAAAGGAAAATTGCTAAAGTCAAGTGAGGTAAAGCATGATCCCCTATTTGTAATAATTCGTCTTGGACGACTATAGTAACCGAAGTATTTCTCTAAAGCGCAGCAGACCTCTTTCGTACTTGTAGAATTGACTGGGTATAATTTCACGAACTTAGTAAAGGCGTCTATAGCGACTAGTATATGTTTGCGTTTTGACCTAATAGCTGGGAAAGGACCGAAGTGGTCGAGGTGAAGGGTATCGAATGGAATCGGCTTCTTTGGAATGCTGAACATGTTGTGCTCATTAGAGCGCGCTGGGGCTGAGTATAGTATACATTTGATGCAATTACGGATGAACCGTTCTAATTTATCACGCAAATGATCAAACCAGTAGTGTTTAGGTATTCGATCGTGGCACTTGTCCACGCCTAAATGTCCAATTTTTTCGTGCACCATACGGATAACGTTGTCTTGCATCTCGGTTGGTACGTATAATAGGGAGTCATTACCCAGCTTTCGAAAAACTGGTCCGTCCATAAGCTCGTAACCTACAACTTCACCTTTCTCCAGTTCGTTCAAAAGTTCTTTGAGCCTACCGTCCCGATTCTGGGCAACATGGATTTGAAAATCCAAGTCATCGTGGTCAACGGCAGCAACTAACTCACACCTACTCTACACCTCTCACCTACACCTACATTTGAATGCCTCGGCGTTCGGGGACAGCGGAGAACGGCTTAATGAATCTACATGACCGAGGTTAACGCCTTTTCGGTGCCGAATTGAGTAATCGAAATTTTCTTATTCTAGGGCCCATGACGCTATTCGTGTATTTACGTGGTTTTTGCTTTGGGTCATGGTTAGTGAATTACAGTCGGTAACGATGGTAAATGGTATCCCTTCCAAGTAAATCCTAAACCTTCTGAGGCCATAGATAATGGAAAGAGTTTCCAACTCAAAACTATGGTATCTTGACTCTGCTTCCGTAGTGGTTTTTGAAAAGTATGCAATCGGATGTAGCTTTTTGTCATCCTGACTTTGAAGTAGAACAGACCCAAACCCATGACTGCTGACATCGCAATGGATTTCGGTTTCTCGCGTATGATCGTATATCGCTAGCACTGGGGCCTTAACTAACTGTTCTCTCAATTTCCTAAAGGCTTCTAAATATGGTTCCGTAAGATTGAATACTGCCTCTTTCCGTAGGAGATCTCAAAGTGGCTTAGTTGTCTTTGAAAGCGATGGTACAAATTTCCGAAAATATGAAAACAGGCCAAGGCACGAGCGAAGTTCTTTATGGTTCTTCGGGATGGGATAATTGGAGATTGAACGGATGTGAGCGTCTGATTGTTGTATCCCCATAGGGCCGACGAGGTATCCTAAGTATTCTATTTCATTGTACCCGAACTTACACTACTTCAGCTTAAGTTCTCTCTCAGGTAAATCCTCTTCAACACTTTTCCTACAGTATGGAGGTGACTCTCGAAATCAGTGGACGCAATAAGGATATCGTCAATATATACTACAATCTCTTTTGCATCTATTTAGTCACGAAAAATATTGTACACAAATCTCTGAAAATTGGCTGGTGCGTTCTTTAGTCCGAAAGGCATTCGAAGATATTCAAATTGCCCGTGTGGTGTAACAAATGATGTCAATGGAATAGAATCCACGTCTATTGTCAGTTGGTTAAACCCGTCCTTTAGGTCCATTAAGGTGAACCATCTCTTTCCTGACATATGCTCGATACAATCTTCAATCAAAGGCAGTGGAAAATTATCTCGAATTGCTTTCTTATTGAGTGCCCTATAGAAAAACTATCAATATTCACGATAGTCTCGAAAAAAACAAAACTATCGATAGCGCTATCGATAGTGCTAAATTAGTTAGGTTGCTTTGTTTTTTTTTTGCAGGATCATAGTGAAATAAATATTATCTTATAAAAGTTATAATCATTCAAAATTAAATATCTGCTTAGCCAAAATACTTCTCTTTTTAGAAAGTTCAAAAACAAACCCAAGTTATACAAACAAAAAAGGATTTACGATTAAGATATGTATGTATAATTTCAAAAAACTTGGGAGAGATGATCGATAGTCCTACTAAACTATCGATATTTTTGATAGTATAAGAAAAAACTATCAATGAGTATTGATAGTCTAAAAAAATTGAAACTATCGATACTATCGATAGTGCCATCGATAGTTTTACAACTCTACTGTCTATTCAACAGATCATCGGTAATTCTTTGAACCACTGCACGGTCTTTAAACAATAGCCGCCTTGGCAAACAGTAAAATGGCGTATCATCAGTTAGGCGGATTTTCATTTTATATTCATAGGGTGTCCTATCTATAACTGAGGGTGCCATATATGAATCATATAAAATGGTTGTGCTTGCTTCTCGCTTAACGCTATCTAACTTAGGTCCTAGGTCTATATCTGGTTCAAGCCCACAGTCAATCGCATTAAGCTCACTCAATACATCGGTATATTCATCGGTATGTTCACTATTATTATCACTGTAGTTAGGCATTTTATCATCGCGTTCTTTAAACATGTTGATACCCCCACTATGGACCTCATCCTGGCTGTTTTTACCATTATCAGAAGGTTCCCTGCAGTCACCGTCAGATAAATTAACTACTATCGAATCAGAAACACTGTATTTTACATTATAACTAATATCAACTTTATTTAATTTAGATATACAACAAAAACTGGAATTCATGTTTATTATTCTTATTCACTTGTTTTAAATATATATTAAATATTTTCATGAAGTCGCGACCGAGTATCAGAGGGGTAGTTATTGTGTTATCCGGAACTATCATCATTTGAATGCATCGAGTTTTATCACGAAGTCTTACCGCGCACAATACTGTGCCAAATAAGTATATTCTGCGTTTGCCGATGCCGATAAATTTTGTTGGAAATTTGTAAAATGATAATTTAGTGCATTTTGGGGTGCTTGATCTTTGCATCAAACTAATCGGACTACCGGAATCGAGAAGAGAATAAATATTTATAAAACCTGTGTTTCTGATTGGATTCGATTTGCATAAGGCCACACTTACCCATTGCTTAACATCTAGGTAATCATCATCGTTGGAAATTTCTTCGGACACCGCAGCTACTTGAGTGGGTCGGCTCCTCTTCTTAGGGCAATTATTGTGCTGGTGCCCCATTTGGTGACAGGTGAAGCGAGATCCTGCAGGTCTGGTCGGCTTTGGGCAGCTGCTCTGGTAATGTCCAAATTGCGAGCAGTTGTAGCAGCGTATTGAGGTTAGATCCCCGGCGACCGCAGTAGTAGACTTGGGTGTAGTTTTGCGTGCGACGACTTTAGCTGAGGACCTGGACGCAGAGAACGTCGAACGCCGTTGTTCGTAACGATCCATACGCCGATTAAGCTCCTTAGCCGAGTGGGCACCGTACAAAATGGAAATTTTATTGCTGCTGTCTGGTATGCCATCGATTATTTTGTCAACAAGTTCTTCTTCCAGGTCCATCTTCGACGCAATAGATTGCATAGCCACCGCGTAAGCAATACAAGACTCGTAGGACTTCAATTTGAGTGCTCGCAGCTGACGGTAAATTTCTTGCCTAGTAGCCCGGCGATGGAACATTGTTTGCAGTAGTGTCCTGAAACTGTCATAATCAGTAAGACCGTGGTTAAGAACGCACTCCTTGGCTCTTCCCGTCTTACAACGGCGTAGGGCCAGGCACTTATATCTCTCGCTGAGATTGTTTGCTTCTGCATAGTCTTCAAATTGTATGAACCACTTATTGATATCGCGATGGTAATCGCCACTGAACTTGGGCACGGCAGCTTCCAACTCCTCGAAATTTATATGATTTCTGGGCGTAATATAATTGCACTGACTCTCCAGCTCAGCTATTTCCCGGCGTAGCCTCAAGATTCTGAGTTATTCCTCTATTCGACCAGATTCTTCGGATTGGTTCGATGGACTGGCACTTCCAATTGATGCCCCAGCAAAACCAACCACATTGTGGTTGCAGTTTCTAGTGTGGCTGAAACAGAAGCCACGTTCACAGTGGTCGTCGTAGTTAGGGGTTGGCTTCATATGGTGGCTTTGGCGTAGGGTGCAGCGGTCGTAAGCGATCCATCGCCCAAATTTTCAGCGATGGAAACAGCAGTGTGAGCGGCAGTCATCTTTTCAGCGGTGGTGGTAGCGACAGCGGTGTTCACTTTTCCAGGATTATTCCTTGTTGACGGCATTTTTAGAAAATATTTTGCTTAGATGGGTATTGGGATTTACACCGCACACCTTAAGGTCGTAATCGCAAAAATTACAGAAAAATGATGTCTTTTATAAAATCAGATTTTTTATTTTTCTTATTTCACTTCCTTGCGCTGTTGCTGGTACACCGGAAAAGAGAAAAAGTCATGGTCGACTTGACAGATGTAACAGGGTAGTTCATTTATCTCAATATCTAAAACCTGCTTATACAACGGGTGGTGTAGATGACTTATAATTTAAAATAGTGCTAACACTTATAATGTTAGGGTAAGTTAATTAACTAACTAAAAATAAAATTCACTTTTTGATTGATTACAATGCATTTGATCGAATAATAATTCCCCTCATCTTTTTATGCAATTAAAAATTTTCGTTAGTTGTAGCTTTTTTTGCATTTCAGCGACAATGTTAATTACGTCCTTTCCATACTATATTAACGATATCAAAATATCAAAGCACATTGAGAACATGGAATGGAACAACAAACGACGGTATCGACAGCGGTGAGCAATTAATTGTGACTGCCTGTAGCTAGGAAAAATCGAGCTCAGCTAATAAAAATAAACTAATTACAAACTATTCATTACAGGTGAACCTTTTCAAGAAGTCACCCGGGAACTAAGCAGGTCTGAGACCTTCATCGTCCGTGATCCCAATAATTAAAATTATTATTAAAAATTGGGTGCCTTTTAACTAAAATAACAAGAAATAAGAAGAAGAACGATGATAGATTGTGAAGACGAGAGTCAGGAGGATACATCCGACATTTGCAGCCCCGATGCAATTCTTCAAAATGAATTATTGCACCGCAATAAAAAATAAATATAACTGAAAGTCCTCTCAATTGGTGCAGCGTCAATCGACAAGCGTTGAGCGTTTTACTCCCGAGGAGTATTCAAAAAGGTTTATTACTGTATATACTGTGGTAAATATTGCCAATGGTCAGTGCACAGGAAACGCACCTTTTCAGCAGTTTTTCTGTTTGTTTCCAAACTACGAACTGTCAAGCATAACACCCAAGCAAGTATCTCAGCGCCGTTGAATGGTGTTACATAACTTTATGACTGTAGTTCATTTAGGGTGGCCAGATATTATAGTGACATAATCAGTACAGTTGGGATCATAATCAGTACAAAGCCATACAAATCAGTTCATTTTTAAGCGTATTTTTTATTCTTAACAATATAACAACAAAATAATAGCGCATTAATTTAACAAATAATAACTAATAGACTTTTAAATACGTATAGTATTATCGATATAAAAATTTATTTTTATTATTATTTTTTTTTTTCGTAGGAGAGGGAAATGCTTTATGCACTGGCCGGGGGCGCTAGTCTCTACACTACCTTGCCCGAGTGTGGGACTCCCACCGAAGCGTGTTGGGCTACCCACTAAAACCCAAACT